TCTCTCTCTCTCTCTCTCTCTCTCTCTCTCTCTCTCTCTCTCCCTCTCTCTCTCTCTCTAAAACATGCTTCATCTATGACTATAGGAATTATTCTATAAGGTCTATAAATGGAAGTTCATGAATTGTCTTGAACTTTGGACTATTGTTAATGTGTCCATGACTAAGAGCCTGATCTTATGCCACTTGCCTATTTGTTGATCCAAATTATTTCTGGAGTTGCCAGTTTAGTTGTAATTGCTAGATATTTTCCACTAAGGTTAAGATGTGTCAGATGCACGAATTTCAGAAGTAACTTTATACTAAATTTTATTTTTTTGTTTTGCATGTAAGTGCCTCCATCTTTTATACTTAACAAAGCAAGTAGTGCATGCTACCAATTGTTTCATCCTTTTCACTTCTCAAATTAAGGAAAACTCCAAGTTTACTAATAAAAGGCAAATGTCAATAACTTTTCTACCAAATATAAATAACAATTTGGCTTAATATGAAGAACATTAATCTAAAGAATTGTATTCCATATGCTACAAAAAGATGACCATAATATTCTAATATGTATGTCTTGAGCTTCAACTCACTGCATCATTTTTAAAGAACATTATAAGAAAGCATAGATTCATAACATTATAAGAAAGTATAAGAAAGCATAGATTCATAACATTGTTCCTTATTCTACATAAAAATTACAGTCATACATGTTAAATACTAACACTACAAATATCTTAATACTAAAAATTAAAAACTAAAAACTCAAGATCTCAGTACTAAAAATTAAAACCATAATGTTCATGTTAGTTTTGCATCTCAAATCCTACATAAAATCTCAATACTAAAAACTAAAGATTATACACAACAACATAGCTTAATATCTCATATCTTAGTACCTTTTACCATAGAGTTTTTCCTTCTCCAACTCTTGTTTTAGCCAAGAAACTTTAGAGTTGACTGATTTTATTCTATTAAGCATCTCTCTATATTCTCATTTCAGAAATAAACAAGTACCTAACAAACCTAACAAAAAAAACTCACTATCATCTTTAACTTTAGGCAAAGTCAACAACATATCCATGCATTTTGCAATGTTACTAGTAGATGCGTCATAGTTTTTCTTTAATAATTCGATTAAGCTAGCTGAGATATAACTTTCAATTGTATCACAAAAACGATCCAATTGTCTTTGCATGTATACTGCAACCCCCGACATCATTTTCTCTCCTTTACCTTTAGTTGAACAACCTATTGTGTTTTTTGTTTTTTTATTGCCTCTTTGGGTTTGCGTAGCCATGATTTTCACCTCATCAAAATCACCTCTTCCTTCATCTAAATCAATAGCACCTTCAACCTCTAGGTCTCCTACATCTTGTTCTGGAAAAATAACACTAACAGCTGGGGTTCATGCAATTTCACTAGTGGCCAATATTTTAGCAAACATTATCTCCAACTTCGCCATTTTTTCTAATCCATTATGCTCAAACTTGGCATATTCCTTATTCTCCTACAATACTTAACATCATATAAGATACAATAGATTATGAATTTAAAGATAAAATTAGCATATTAACGTTCAAAAACTTAAAATCATTAACAATAATGAAACAGTACTAACCGCTTTCAATGCAACCCATTGTTGAGGAGTAGCATTAATGGTACCCTTTTCATGGTTCCACCCTAATCTTGTTTCTTGTTTCAAAAGTTGATTCCACAAAACCCATTCACTTTTTAATGCATCCCACCTATTTCTTAATTGTTTATAAACATATTTTTTATTTGCTTTTTCATTAAATTTCTTTCACATTTCTCCACCCTATTTTATTAAAAGTATTAGTGGGACATATGATTACCAGTCATGACCTCTTCTACGCACATCTCACAGAAAATTTTGATTGCAATTGTATATTATTGTGCCTTTATCCTTTTATCCTTTGAATCAAAAGGACCTACCATCTAATATATTTGAAATAATTTTATCCTTTAAACAATATCTATAAAAACATAAACATGATAATATCAATAACAATAACAATTTTTACACATGCTTAAATATGTAAATAACAAATCATCCATGGACATCAAACCATGCTACTAGGGGAAAGAGCTTTTTTAATCTGATTTCAAGTGTAATGGTTGCGTTCAACTTGGTAGGCAATACAAGACAAAATCCCAACCAAATTCAACTTATTTAGGCATAGAATTTTGAATGATTCAACCTATAAATGAATTGTATAGCTAATTTTTAACTTTGCCATAACATCAAAATATTTGTAACAATTACAAATTTATAATAAAATTAATAGCTATAAAACACTAAGATCATAGCTAATATTGGCATATAGTCACTAATTGTAAACTAACTATAGCAATTGAATTTATCAAAAATTTAATTAGTAATTAACAAAAAAAATTAAAGAATAATTAATTTTAATGAAAATAGTTTTTGATAGAAAAATGAGGAAAATAAAGAAAGCGGTGTTACTTTTTTCCTTTGAGGGAGTTTGGAGAAGTGGTTTTTACTTTTTACACAAAAGCCTCTAGCCGTTTTTATTGACAGAAAAAAAAGAGCAAGGGTTTTCTCTTACTATTTTAAGTTTTTTCCCCTTAAGGATCCTTGGTAGCCGGTCAAAAAAGAAAAGATAAAAAGTACAAAAGGTAATCCAAGACCAATGAATCTAAAGGAGACTAAAAATGACAAGTTTCACACTTATTGAAGTTTAGGATTACAAGAGAATAGAAGAGATGACATGCAAATTGATGAACATGAAGAAAACCAAGAAATTGACATGCAAATTGATGGATTTAATCCTAATTATCACAACGTCTATGTTTAACAAAGCCAAAATCCAACAAATCAATGAAAATAAAGCAAAACTCATGCTTTCTAGAAATCAAAAAGGCAGAAAAATGGAATAGTAATAAACTCATTCAATCTAAAAGATGAAGTTTGAGAAAAGGGAGCTTACATTGAAGGTTGGAGGCCACGCCACTCGATATGGGATGAGAAGGATGAGGATGTCAAAAAAGTGAGCCTAAATAAAGCAAGATCAGTTCTCCATTTGATGGGCGAAGTGGTAACACTCTGTTCCACAAGTGGGATCATTATTAGGGTGTATTGTGTTCAACCCCCAACTCCCTTTCCCCCACCCCTTATTAAAATATGTAATAGTTGTAATGGGTAATTGCCTTTATTCAAAATAATAATAATAATAAAGCAAGATCGAGATCAATGGCTAGAAAGGCTAAAAGGAATATCAGTAGATGGAGAAAATGCGTAGATGGAAAGATTAGGTATTTAGGTTATATTTGATACTGTATATGTACTAGTTCAACTTTACATTTGTTAAAATATGAGGGTACAATAGGAAGAGCTAGCAAATTTCATTAAATGGAAGCAAAAGCATAGGCAAAAGCACCAAATTCATGCTTTTTCCATTTTCAAAAAGTAGAAGTTAGCATTAGCTTTCCAGTAGCTGAAGTAATTTTTTCAATTTTGAGTGTTTGATATAATTGGTGCTTTTAGATTTTAAAAGCACTTCTAACCAATTACACCAAACACATACTAAGCAAGGTAGTGCCTCTCAGTTTTATTCCTACATCTCTGTAAAACAACTCTACCCCTATCTCTCTCATATGTTCTTATCTCTCTCTAAAATGAGTTGAATTGGATGGCAAAATTGTAAAATTTAAAGAAGTAAATGACAAATATAGCTTCCTCTCACATTTGCCACAAATTAATAGGACTTTGTGAAAGGGCGGCATTTTTGTTTTTTTTTTTTTTGTAACTTTTGGGTTTTTTTTTTTTTTAATGTCTTTCACATTTGCTATGGTAACAGGGCTTTGTGGAAAAAATGCATTTTTTTGAATTTTGACAACTTTTAGGCTTTGTTAATGGATATTTATATTTGAAATACCTATTTGACACTTCAATTTAATCTCCTAAACCACTTTCACATTTAGAGCATTCACAACCCTTTTTTGCTATTTTCTTCTTTCACATTATTTTTTCTCTCTTCCTTTTGGTTTCCTCAGTTTATACATTATGAATTTAAGTATTATATTCTTTTTAAGTATAATAAAAAGGGTAGTGCCTTTCTCTTCTATTCCTATATCTCTCTCAAACAACACTGCCCTTGTTTCTCTCATATGTTCCTAACTCTCTCTAAAATGTGTTGGATTGGATGACAATATTGTAAAATTTTCACATTTGCCACAATTAACAGGATTTTGTGAGAGGGTTGCATTTTTGTGATTTTTGGCAACTTTTGGCTTTTGTTAATGGATATTTATATTAAAATATCTATTTTATATTTCAATTTTATCTCTCAATCCACTTTTACAACTAAAGCATTTAAGACCCTTTTCTGTCATTTTTTTTCTTTCACAATATTTTTATTTCTTTTCCTTTTAGTTTCCTTAACTTATACATTATGAATTTAAGTGTTATCTTCTTTTTATTATAATAACACCAATTGAACAATTTAATAAGGAGGGTAGTGCCTCTCTCTTTTATTTCTATATCTCTCTAAAATGAGTCTACCCTAGTCTCTCTCATATGTTCCTATCTTTCTCTAAAATGTGTTGGATTGGATAACAATATATAAAATCCAAAGAAGTAAATGGCAGGGACATCTTCCTCTCACATTTGCCACAATTAACGGGACTTTGTGGGAGGGTAGTATTTTTGCATTTTTGGCAACTTCTGGACTTTTTATAATGTCTCTCACATTTGCTATGATAATAGGGCTTTGTGACCGACTAGAGGGATTGGATCAAGTGGTAAGCGGCTTGTTCCAGCTTAAGTAAGGTTTCGAGTTCGAGACCTTGTGAATGTAGCAGCCTTCGCTGGGAGACTCACCTACCATTTCCAGGTGCGTGACGCGGGTCGAGTCCGGATTAGTCGGGGTGAAGCCTCGGATACCGGGCGGGAAACCAAAAAAAAAAAAAAAAAGCTTTGTGAGAGGGAAGCATTTTTTTTTTAATTTTGGCAACTTTTAGGCTTTTGTTAATGAATATTTATATTGAAATATTTATTTTGCACTTCAATTTTATCTCTTAAACCACTTTCACATTTAAAGCATTTAAGGTCCTTTTTTGCCATTTTCTTCTTTCATGATACTTTTGTTTCTTTTCTTTTTGATTCCCTAAACATTATGGATTTAAGTATTATTTTTGTTTTATTATAATAAAACCAATTGAACACTTTAACTAGAAAAATAAGGAAATAGTTGAAAACAAAATAAACTTTAATCAATAAAAATCCATATGTCACATTAAGTGTTAATAATTTAGGTCATTTGTTGTCTATTTTTTTTTTGCTTTATTGTCTATTTCTAGCAACATCTTTCTTTAAAATTATATATACGAAAAATCCCAACAACTTACATAGGAGGTTGAAAATGCTAGTATATAACTAAAGAAGAAGAAAAAGTAGAAGGTTGACACGGTAAATTTGCTAAGTTTTACCATTTGAACAAATACGAAAAACTTAGAGGGCCATGTTGAGATATCCACAACAGACACGTATGTTACTCCTATAAACTTACCCGGCACCAGTTATTCTGGTTCGGTCTTCAGCGCCGCCGTAGCTCTCTTTTCCCGTATTCACTGCCACCGGCGAGAATTGACGGCAACCCTAATTTCAATCGGCAGGTCCGTAATCGTCGTTAAATCAATTCGATCTATCTTCAACCTTCAATTATTTCGAATTTATTTGTTATTTTCATGTTTATGTTTTAGGCTATCTTATTTTAGGGTTGTAAGCTGTGATACCTGAGTTTTATTGAGCTTTAATATTCTTTCGATTTCGGCTTTCCATGGTGGCTTTATTTTTACTGCTTTTCTTTGGGTTAGTTTCTAATTCTGTTTTCATCTTTGTGAGCTAGATTTTTTTTCCTGATTCTGTTGATTTTTTCCTCTTATTTATTTATTATTATTATTATTTTTCTGGTTTGGGGATCTTAGACGTGGAATTAGGAATAGGGTTTGTTTTGGTTGATTGAGGAAGAGATTCCATATGAATGTCCTAATTTTGTGTGGCTTCTGTTCATATCAAATGATTTGTGCTTAATTATTCTGTTCATCAGGTCCGGGTTATTGAGAAGTTCAGAATTTTAAATAAAGATGTCTTATGATGATGTTGAGATAGAGGATATGGAATGGAATGAGGAGCTGCAAGCTTATACATACCCGTGTCCTTGTGGTGATCTTTTCCAGATTACTAAAGAAGAGCTAAAACTTGGTGAGGAAATTGCCCGTTGCCCTAGCTGCTCTCTCTACATCACCGTCATCTACAATGCCGAGGACTTTGCTGATCAGAAATCCAACAAAAATCTCAATCCACAAAAGCAAACTGTTGCTGTTGCTTGAAATCTTTCAGGTCGCTTGAGACTTCATTATTTGTATAATTTCAGTTTCAAAAAGGTTTCCTTTATTAGGTCCCTGAGCTTTTGAACTTGGATGCTTTCTTGTGTGATTACCATGAGTGGCAATTCATTGTCCTGAGCCTGATATGACAATGTCAGTTCAAGACATAACATCTCGGATTCTTCCTCATCAATACCATTTTTATAAGAAAAGAATTTTGAGAACTTGGTTGTAGTAACTAGTATTTATGCTATTTGTGATAGTGATACTAAATTTTGCGATACATTAATAGTGTACTCGAGTTGGAGATAGGAAGAGAAAGCGGAGAACAGTTGGCATTGAGATTTTATTGATTTAGGGAGTTTATGTAACAATAGAATTATGGAACAGTTGCAAGTCTGTAATAAAACAAGGTATCTTCTTGCACCTATTAACTTATGCATATTGTGTGTGGTTGTAGTGTTCAACTATTCTTGCATTTTCTCATTGTTTGAAGTTGATAGATGTGGATTGTTATCCATCCCCAGCAGTTGTTTCCCATTGAAGAATGATACTTGTCTTGACAGTCTTGTGATTCCATACTTCCATTACTTCGCGATGTAATACAAGTAGTATGAACTTTTTGAACTATAACATTTTATGTTTAATGAAGACTCCCATCTTTTTAGCGTCATTCTGCAGGTCTGCTTTGTATTATTCCATTAGCTAAGCTCTTATTTCTCCTACTAAGATCATTTCGTTCGGTGCAGCAAGCAGATGAACCCTTTGACTCAGTACCAAAGTTTTCTCTGCTTGACTTGAAACAGGTCACTTCTTTTCCTATCAAAACTTGTAATTTACGGTTGACTGCACATTGCACTGAAACTGGAAAAAGGGAATAAGGTTTTACAGTTACCAAAAAGCTAGATGAAATCCAAGTGGGTGGAATTGGTTTGGCTATCTCAACGGTATTGTCCTTGAGTAAAAAGGTGAGATGTGATTAAACAGGCTGGAAGAGATGTAGAAGTCCAGTTATAATTTATTTTTTCTGTTCAACTCAAGGCATTCTACTCGACATTAGGGGTGGGGGAATTGATCTCGTCTCTTGTGGATATTGTGAGGGACCAATCCGAACACCATTGTCGGGTGAACGGCTGAACGTCCAACTTCAGGATGAATAGCCGATCGGAATAACTCCAGCACTCACTGCCACCTTTGCTTCTGATAGATGATGACTGATTTTGTCTTAAATGCTCTGATACAAGATTTAATGCACATCCATTGACTCCAATATAAAGTTATTGTCGATCACAGAGCTATAACACTAACATAAAGAGGGGATTTGCCATGTGAAAAGCCACCTTTAGAGAGTCATAAATATTTCCCCAACCATCATATTTTAAGTAGATTTATCACACTTTTTAGTTTTCATGGTATACTAGCTCATTCTCACTCAAATTCTCTATTTATTGACTTAAACATTAGAATGTTTATCCCAAAATCTAACCTCAAGTCTTGTAAATATTCTAATCGACGTCGTCGTCATAGTCGTGTCATGCCCTTCTTCATCTAAGTTATTTCGTGTAACAACAAATATATAAACATGCACTTTGCCTTCCCCTGCTCCGCGTGTAGTCGCAAAAGCTACTGGCTTAGGGGAACACCACCCAAGGCTTTGCCATCTCCTCTAAGAAATGATGATATTTCAAAAATCTCACAAATCCAACGGTTTAGATAATGATAATATTTTTAATTATATATTTCATAAGCCATTATCTCAGCCATTGGATTTTTGAAATCAACGGTTGACGAATTATTTAAAACTTAAAAATCCTCAATTTTTTGCTGCATAAGTACATATTATCACAACTTTGGGGCTCTGAAAGGGCCTGAGACCATAAATAAATGGACCTAAAAGAGCCCGTTTCATTCCACCTTAACGAAGGATAAGGAAGGCCCCCCCGCAACCCAGAAAAGATTGAGCGGGAAGAGCCGCCGCCGGTGACGAACAACAGTTTTAACAGCGATAGAGACCGACGACTTAAGAGTCATTGTCTCCGATTCTCCACCATAAAATCATAGAAGAAACCTTTCTCACTCATTGAACATGAAACCATACAAAGTCCTCGATACTCAAATAGTCAACTGCCGTCACCCCCTGAAAACCGTTATTCCCGTTAAGCATCTTCTCTCCCCTGCATTGTTCTCTACAAAGTCGCAGCCAGAGGCTCCTCAACAACCCCAGGATCCGTCTTTTTACATCTCCCAAAATCAGCCACCAATAACCTCTGATCTGCTTGCGGACAAAGCCCGTTCTTCTCAGTGGCATTTCATCAAACACCTGGCGCCAAACCTTAGTTCGTCTCTTATAGCCGCAACCCTCTCTGATCTCTACAAAACCCCAGAATTAGCTATCCAGTTCACTACCCATGTTGAATTTGATCGACTTGATATCAGAACGCGTTGCTTCGCTATCGCCCTCGCCTCTCGGAGTTCATCACCAAATCCCAGCTTGCAGCTCCTGAGAAGGATCATTTCTAGTGGCGTGGCCACCGTTAGGGTGATTTTTGATGAGTTGGCACTTTCCCGGCAACGTCTAGGTACTAAGAGTAGTATTCTTTTTGATTACTTGATCAGAGCTTGCTGCCAATTGAAGAGGGCTGATGAGGCTGCAGAGTGTTTTTACATGATGAAGGAGAAGGGTCTGGTGCCAAAGATTGAGACTTGTAATGATATGCTGAGCTTGTTTCTGAAGTTGAATAGAAATGAGAGCGCATGGGTTTTGTATGCTGAGATGTTTAGGATGAAGGTTAAGTCCACTCTTCATACATATAATATAATGATTAATGTGCTGTGCAAAGAAGGGAAGTTGAAGAAGGCGAAGGAATTCCTTGTCTTTATGGAGAGTTTAGGGGTTAAGCCCAATGTTGTTACTTATAATACGATAATTCATGGGTATTGTTCTAAAGGGAGGTACGAGGGTGCTCGCTTGGTTTTGAATGCAATGGTGGCCAAGGGTATTGAACCTGATTCGTACACATATGGTTCTCTTATTAGTGGGATGTGCAAAGAAAAAAGACTCGAGGAGGCATCAGAGATGTTTGAAAAGATGAGAGAAATAGGTTTGGTTCCCACTGCTGTGAACTACAACACTTTAATTGATGCTTACTGCAATAAAGGGGATCTAGAAAGGGCTTTTGTTTATAGGGATGAAATGGTTAAGCAGCGTATAATGCCGACTGTATCGACTTACAATTTGTTAATTCATGCTCTCTTTATGGAAGGGAAAATGCTTGAAGCTGATCATTTGGTAAAAGAAATGGAAGATAAAGGAACGGTTCTTGATGAGATAACATATAACATTTTGATTAATGGATACTGCAGGTGCAGCAATGCTGAGAAAGCATTTGATCTCCATGATGAGATGTTAAGTAAGGGGATTCACCCTTCACGAGTGACTTATACATCACTTATATATGTTTTGAGTAAACGGAAGAGAATGAAGGAGGCCGATGATCTGTTTGAGAAGATAATATGCAAAGGAGTGTCACCAGATATTATAATGTTCAATGCCTTGATTGATGGTCACTGTGTCAATGGTAATACGGAACGTGCTTTTTCACTATTGAAGGAAATGGATAAGATGAAGGTTTCTCCTGATGAAGTCACCTACAATACTTTAATGCAAGGACATTGCAGAGAGGGAAGGGTTGAAGAAGCTCGTAATCTTCTAGATGAGATGAAGGGAAGGGGAATCAAACCTGATCGCATTAGTTACAACACCCTCATTAGTGGGTATAGTAGGCGGGGTGATATGAAGGATGCTTTCAAAGTTCGTGATGAGATGTTGAGTCTAGGTTTCAATCCCACCCTCCTGACTTACAATGCTCTTATACAAGGTTTATGCAAGAACCATGAGGGAGATGTTGCAGAAGAGCTTCTGCAGGAGATGGTTAGTAAAGGCATTGCCCCTGATGATAGCACTTACTATGCATTGATTGAGGGAATGGGCGAAGTTAATCATGCAGCAGAAGGAAGCAATCCTCCTTGATTGTGGGGAGTGGGAAAGTTGGCCACTTTGAAAAAGGTAGGACTGTGTGGCTAAAAACTTCAATAGCAGCATAACAGCCTGGATAAGGAGTGGAGTATGTAGTGAAGAATTAGCTTTGTTTGCTCAAGCGGAGAATCCCTTCTTTGGAGGATTTTGGGCAATTAGGAGACCCTTTTTGTTTGTTGGCTTTCAATCAAAACCGTTGTTGAACAATCTTTTTTGACTGAATGAGTTTTAAGAGGAAATAACTCCTTGATTTTGGATGTTGCAAAGCTTCAATGTTGATTTGTAAGTCAATTTTCCCCTCTTAGGTCTTGTATGGTATGTCTGCTTATTGAAGCCATTACAGTAATGGTCAGACTTTGTGTATTAAAGTTGTTATTGTAATTGTTATATGATATCAATCTAGTTTCTGGTACAGCCATTCAATGTCTGCTGTAAGTAGATCCCAAAAAGTTTAACTGATCTCATTTCTTCAATTCAACGCAG